TCCGACGCAAAAAGGGGTGTTATAAGTTTGACGTCGATGTCTGCCTGTGTGTGTGTGTGTGTCTGTCTGTGGCATCATAGCTCTCAAAAGGTTGGTCCGATTTCGATGCGGTTTTTTTTTCATTTAAAAGCCAGGTTCCTTGCAGTGGTTCTTAGCTATGTTTGATTAATATTGGTCCAGCATTGTATCAGCTCTTTTCCAAAATTGTATAAGGCAATCTGGCGTATGATTACTCGATTAAGTGCTTCACGCGTGCCAGTGTAATCGTTAAATGACAATTAATTTGCGTAGGGGTTTTTTTAAATTTTAAATTTATAATTATTCTTTGATACTTTAATCCCCTAATGGACACTTTTTATATATTTTCATGCTTTAATACCCAAAACAAACTTAATGAATTTTTGCGCTTATTTTTGTACATTCTATGATGGCAGCGGTAGCTTAACGGTAGCAACGTGTTGGAAACTGCATGTCTGAGAGAACCTTATTAGTTTTCGTAAGATATGTGAAGTTGCCCGATTGCCAAATGCCCTCGCATTGAAGGTAGAACGTACCCAACAGTAGGACGTTACAAAAGGCTTAATTAATATACTACTACTTAGCACTATTTATCCTATTATATATATGTCAAAAAAAGCATAGGTTAAAATCTAAAACAAAAGATGAACGGTTTACTACTCAGATTATTATTATAAACGTGACAGTTTGTACGTGTGTGTATGTTTCTCATTCCTGCATGCTGAAATGGCTGTACGGATTTTGGTAAAATTTAGAAAACAGATAGATATCGCCTAGAGTATTATGTAGGCGCATTCGAGCTAAGCAAAGGCAAGTCCTTAGTTTCAAATGAAAATACTCAAAATTAATCCAAAGAGCAATTTCTTGCCAAGATCTCATCTAAAGTAAATAAATCAATTTATATTAAAATGTATTCGCACTTTAAATAATTAAAATGAAAATAGCTTTTCTGAATAAGTCCTTGAGCTTTATATTAAGAATTTGGTACTAGTGGTAGCTTTCGTCTGGGCTAGTAACGCTGATTATCTGTAATGAAAATAAGATTTTTAATTATGATCTCTTAAGATTGTATCTTTAATTAAAGTTTTTGGAAGATTTATTATAAGATTATAGCTGTTTAAGTTGAAGAAATTAGTTCATGTCCAAAATAAATTATGTAAAGAATTATGAGTAGAACTGTATATTATATTTTATTTATTATTTTTGATTCATCGTTGTTTTGTGTTTTAGTTAATTTTAATAAGTTAGCAATTTGACTTATATTTCATTGGAACTAACAGGAATACTAATAAAATCTGAATAAATAAAATTACAAATTAATTATATTTATATTATATTATTAAGTAATTCAATTATACTCGTATACAAAAACTGAAAATTAGCGTCTCAAGAGTTCTCAAAAAGAAGCGCACAATTTCGAATTGTGCGCTTTTTTAACCGTCTTCCAAAAAGGAGAAGGTTCTCAATTCGTCGGAATCTTTTTTTTCAAATCTCTTTTGCTCATTGACTGAATTAATACGCACGTTGTTTCGTTTAAAAAATACTTTATGTGGTGTGTGTAGGTTCGAATTTGTATTTAGACATCATTAGAACTTGCGATTTTTGAATTTTATTCTTTTGTTTGACTCAACGTCACATGTCGACACCACTTTTTGAAGTGATATTTGTAAGGAAATGTGTATCTATGTTTCTATATACCAATGATTTAGTTACATATTTTATTACAATTGCATAAAGATGTTGATGCTAAAAAATTAAACTAATAAATAAAACGGGGTCTTATCAGTTATCAGTATATTGTGTTAACTAAAAATATTCTTGTCATTGATTTTAATGAGTACTCTATATTAAATGTTATATTTATACCTTATTCGAAGTACTTTTTAATCTTATTGTTTTTACTGACCATAACGACGATACAGAAATGAGATGTACATATGTATCTATATACATAAAAATCGATGTGTGTATGTATGATTCCTATGGAATTCAACACGGCTGGAGCGAATTTAATGAAATTCTCAGGTAATATTTGATCTTTGGGTTTCCAGCGGGTGATCCTGTGAAGTTTGGTAGCGATCGGAAATTTGAACGCGGGCGAGGCCGCGGGTACTCCTAGTATATTATTAATGTATGGAAAAAGTTATTATTATAATTTTTTAATTTGTAATTATTCTTCATTTTAAGTTTTCAAGTTCCTTACTTCTTTTTGACGACGTTTGGCTCAGTTTGCAGTGACCCTACTTGCTGTGCCAGCGGTCGCGGGTTCAAGTCCCGTTGGGGGCATTCATTTGTGTGATGAGCACGTATGTTTGTACTTCAGTCATGGGTGTTTATATTTATAATATGTATGTATTTAAAGTTATATATGTATAGTGTATCAACTATCTGGTATCCAGAAGACAAGCCTCGTAGCTTACCATGGAACTAGATGGTGCTGTGTGTTAATGTCCCAACATATTTAATCAATCATTTCTTAATATCACATTACTTTCACAAATAAATATAAAAATAAAATTATGGACCCAAAACTCAGACTACTCAGACAGATATGTAGCTGGAGTCCGCCAAAATAAATGATGAAACCGCCAAAATGTATGCATGATTTGCTATTTATTTATACTAGTATTCTGGATTTTTCCATACAGATAGTTAAATTAAATTAAAAATGGTATTAATTAAATTGTTATATAAATAAAAAAGAATACTATGTATTCTTTCCTATTTTTAGGCTAATATTAGTTCTCTTCACTTTGAAGAAGAGATAGCATAATATTAGCTTATTTATTATATTAGCTTTATTATAATAAAATCCGTTAGCCATTTTTATTTATTAATATTTATTAATTTATCACTTAGTATAAAAATTATATACTATTTCGAAAAATATTGTATGGCTTCGTGTTTAGTGCTATGACACTGTCTATATTACTCAAAAAGAAAAATTGAACAAAAAAACGCCACTCAGAATTATTTTTGCGTCTCTAATATGTTAGTGTTTTAGAGTGATAATTAATCCCAATGGTAAAAAGTATATGAATACCGCGAAAAAAGAGAATGGCCGAAAATTCAGTGTCGCCTCATTTATGATTCCTCTCTTCTCTATACAAAATAAATTAGAGCGTTTTTGGTGTGGCCATAAAATTAAAGATTAAATATAGGTATTACAATATTCTGTTTTAAATAAATTACCCATTACATCAATGTTGCTAGTTAAAATATAACTTATCTATTGATTATGTATTAATATGGTATTTATGAAATATTTTATTTACTAAATGTATAATATATAAATAATAATTGACCCCCCAGATGATTTCAATATATAATAGGCTAGTGTCTTACCTTTGCTTCGTTCGGGTCACAATTTCATGAGTATTAATTTCTTTGCGCGGTAGCCAATTCTTTTTCTAAAATAAAAGTAGTCTAGTAAAAGTTTCATCAAAATCGGTCCAGCGGTTTCGGAGATTAGCCGGAACAAATTGACAGACAAATATTTTCGTGAGCAAAATCCGCGTACCTAGGGACGCACCCGCAGCGCAGCGAGGGTATATCGCTAGTTTAACACATATTATGTACATATACATACAGCAAACTCCATTTACTTATGAATATTGCACAGGCAATAATTGAGCGCGTCAAATGCAAAGTTCAATCCAATATCCATATTTCTTTTTACGCTTCAGTATATAAATATTTTGTTACAATGAGAAAATATAATGTAAATAAAACTATAATTAACTATATATCCAAAACAAACAATACACTGTTTTATCTTTGTCTGTTTCGTCTTTGTTTATCAACCGATTTTCGTTTTTTTTGTTTAGTAACTATTGAAGAGCTTTAGTATTATCAATAAAAAAATTAGAAACAGTTCATTTTTTTATATACCGAGGTAGGTAAATTCTGTTTATGTACATAATAATATGTTTTCCTCAAATTTTCAATATTTAATATGATCAAATTTCGACTACTGGGCGAACACTAATAATAATAATAATAATAATTTCAGTACGTACGTATCACCTATCTCGTGGCCACAACCAATGCTGCATCGGGAACCTGTCCTGGGAAATATATTTGTCGGAATGAAATGCTTGGCAGCACGCGACTTTATGACTTGTGTGTAATGGACAAGGGAATTTTGTATGTAAATCTGAGAGATTATCCCTCACAATGAATTGGAGTTATATAGGGTAGCTTAGCCGGTTTGCCGGCCACCTTTGGTTTTCGGCCAAGACGTAGTTTTATGATGATAATAAGAAATCATTACTCTGCTCATTTAAAAATCAACGTCAAATATATTTTTTCCAATCAAACCTACGCCTTCTGAACTTTGTTGCATTATAATGATCCAACTGTCTCGTCGGTGGGCCTCCGAAAGTCGAGTAGTGCACGTGTGTCATAATAATAACAAAAAAAATAGAGCGCGAGAAAATTTTGCAAGGTAAGTTACTAAATTGTTTAAGGTTTGATAAATATAAATGTTATTACTCTGAATTGGTGATTATTTGAATTTGTGTTATTTTAATTAAAATGGATGAAAGATAAGGTTTTATATATTTAAATTTGATGGTCGGGTAACTAGATAAGGTTTTGGGGGGCCATCTGCTTTTCGCCCGGCATGCCGAGAACTAAAAGATAGCTTTGTAAATATAATAGATTATATTATATAATATTTAAGGAATACTTTTAAAAAATATATTTTAAAACAAAATATAACCTTCCCTCATTTATGTAGTCAGATTTCGGCCGCATGTTATGAGTTAATATTTGGTGAAAAATATTTTTTTGTTATTTTGTATTTGGCAGCCGAAAATTAGAGTTCTTATAATTACTTTTCGGCCTAGGTATAATGGGTATGGACGAAAACTAATAATATGTTTACCGATGCTCGGCCAGAAAAAAATTTCGACAGTAAATGACAATAAATGAAATAATTGAATAAAAATCACCAGTCAGACAAACAATACAGACATAAAATGACTTCCCCAAGACCCGTCTTATTGGTCAGTCGCAAACTTTTACAAGTTAAACAACGGCCGAAAACAAGTACATCAAAGTGAGTTTTCGACCACTAGCAATAAGACGGCCGAAAATTAATTAATTTAAATTTGGTTATTGGCCACGTATAAAGGGGGGCCGATAAATCGGTTCATAAAAACTTAGTTTACGGCCAGTAATAAAGCAGGTGGCCGAAAATTAGTTAACATACAGTTAGTTTTCAGACCTATTTGAAAGAACGGCCGAAAAGCTGTTGTTGTAATTCTATTTTTCGATCACGTTTAAAATGACGTAAGATTATTTGTTTTGTGTAAATCTTATTTTCATCTACTAATATTACAACAAATATAGTTTATGTTTGTATGTTTATATGATCATGGGCTTGGATTTTTGTAACACAATCTTTTTTTACCCGACTGTGCGACGCAAAGAAGGGTATTGTGATTATCAGTCTATCAGTCTATGTATGTATGTTTGTTTGTTCCTATATGGCATTCTAAAGAACAAACGCGTGAGCCGATTTTGATGATTCATACATCGTTAGATTCGTTACGATAACGCGAGTGCTATAGGCAATAAAAAATAGATAAAATTTAAATGTTTAAAAGTAATTTAGGATAAAAAATGGCTAAATATTACTTCAAATGTCTAATTGGCAAAAACTAAAAAGCTGTAAATAAAAAAACTGTTATAAAAATAAAAAACCCGATTGCATATAAGCTAACTAAAAAGATAAAACAAGTTGACGAATGAATATAGTATTATGTAGTCGTAGACCTACACGTTTCATCCTTGTCGCGATATGTATATGTGTATGTCTCCGACTGCATAATGCTAAATTCCTTTGTCAACTTGTTTTCATCTTTTTAGTAAGCTTTTATGAAGTCGGGTTTTTGTATTTTTTTATTATCTTGATAGGTAATTCTGTAGAATAGTTTTGGAGACTTACACTGATAAAATCGCGTGTAAGCCATATTGTAGTAATAATAATGTTACTTTTACTTTTAGATGCCTCCTGGGAGAAATAAACTTAAACATACTATTAAAAATAAGAGGACTTATTTCCAATATACTGAAGAAGCATTGGCACAAGCTGTCCAGGCCATAAGAACAGAAAATAAAAGCATCAGAGAGGCCTGCCATCACTATGGTGTCCCTCGCTCAACAGTTCAAGATCGAATTTCCGGCAGATATAAAGAACAACCTCGAAAAGTAGGTCCAGAGCCTATACTAGGCATTGATGGTGAGCAAAAAATTGTAGACTGGATTACAGAATTAGCCAAATGTGGGATTCCTGTGAGCAAAGAGGTATTGCTGGAAAATGTTGCAAAAATAATTAAAAATATTTTAAGAGAAAATAAGTTTCCAGAAGGGCGACCGGGACAGACATGGTACCAAAATGTTCTTAGAAGGCATCCGAAGATTAGGGTACGTGAACCTGAAAGTATTAATAAAGCCAGAGAGGCGGTCAGAGAGAGCTTAATCAAAAAATGGTTTACAGATCTTGAATGTTTTTTGATTGAAAGAGGAGTTATAGATATCATGAACGATCCTGACAGAATATTAAACGCTGATGAGACTGGAGTTTCACTCTGTCCAAAATCTGGTAAGGTCTTGGCTCCGAAAGGCTACAAAAATGTTTATATTGTTAAAAGAGGTAACGAAAACGAAACAATTACTGTTTTAATAATGATAACTGCATCGGGTAAAGTATGCCCTCCGCTCGTGGTGTTTCCGTACATTAAACCTTCAAAAGCAGTTGTAGATAGTATGCCAGAAGGTTGGATAATCGGCAAAACTGAATTAGGTTGGATGCGCTCAAATGTTTTTTACGAATACATAGCTAACGACTTTAATAACTGGTTAGTAGAGAACAATATTAAAAAACCAGTAATCCTTTTCGTAGATGGACATAAATCACATATGTCAATGCCCTTAAGTCAATTTTGTGCAGAAAATGACATCGCTTTGCCTCCAAATACTACTCATATCATGCAACTAGCCGATGTTAGTGTGTTTAGACCATTAAAACAAGAATGGAAAAAAACTCTAAGAAATTGGCAGGCAAAACCGGAAAACCTCAACAAAACCGTAACAAAGACTAATTTTTGTTAAGTATTTAAGGAAACTTTGGATACAGATATGACACAAGATATTAAAAATGGATTCAGAAAGTGTGGGCTATTCCCCTTTAATCCGAATAAACTTAAAATCATTAATAGAAACAATATAAAACCTAATATCCCAAAAAGAAAACAAACAAAAGCCAAAGAAAGTGATAGTGATATTATAAATACCGATAAAGATATAGAAATCAATATTAAGAAGACTAAAGTAATAGAAACTGATAAATTTAATATTATAAAGAAAGTTGATATAAAAGAAATAAATAAAATAAGTGAAGATAAGATTGATAAGGAAATGTCTCATAAAAGTGAAACAGCTATAGATGTAACTAAAACCATTCCCAGCGATGAAACTTTTAAGAAATACGATATTTATGAAGAAGATGAGGATGATCACGAATTTGATATTTTTTGATTACGTAATTCAAAATATTAAATTCGTGATCATCTATATTTTTTTCCATATTATTTTTTTTTTTTATATAATTTAAGATCTACTGTTATAGTACAAAAATGTTCCTAAAAACATTGTTATAGTGTGAAAATTTAATTAAAATTGTTGATTCGTATGTATTATTTCGTTTTACTGTAATATAAAACTTATTCAAGAACAAATAGAGATAATTTTTCAAATTGTTAAATGGTGGCCGAGAACTAAACAAATTAATGGCCGGAAACCAAATTTAGTGGCCGAAAACAGACTAAATAGCAAATTTCAGAGATTTTAGTTTCTAGTAATTTTAATATGACATTGTCAAGTAAAGGGGCTACAAATATCAAAACTACATTATCTTTTAAGTTCGAAAATATTTGGAAAACTTATCTGCGACCTTAGTATCATCGAAAAAAATAGTTTCGTAGTCATACGTTTGCTTAAATGGCCGAAAACAGGTGAAACCACCCTATATTACATGAATTGTTAAGATGTCGTGTACCTTGAATGAAGAAATTTCATCATTTAATTATATCGAGAGTTAATTTTTCAGTTATTAAATTAAGTTATGAACGAAAAAAATGTGTGGTTAAAGATAAAGTATTTTTTTAAAGTGAAACTTCTTTAGGCGCGCGGAGGGTTAAGTCAATATATTAGAAAAATGAGAGTCGCGGAAGTGAGAGTCTTTATTATTAAAAAATATATATATTATATATTTATATTTTTATATCAATTATTATATACAAAAATATATATTTATTATTAATAATTTTATAATAATTATTACTTATAAAAATGAACATATTGACGTGATATGTGACAACATGTTTGGCTCAGTTTGTAGTGACCCTACTTGCTGTGCCAGCGGTCGCGGGTTCGAGTCCCGCTGGGGGCATTCATTTGTGTGATGAGCACGAATGTTTGTACTCCAGTCATGGGTGTTTATATTTATAATATGTATGTGTTTAAAAGTTCTATATGTGTAGTGTATCAACTATCTGGTATCCATAACACAAGCCGCGTAGCTTACTATGGAACTAGATGGCGCTGTGTGTTAATGTCCCAACATATTTATTTATTTATTTATTATATTACTGTGGGATGCGTGTGCATAAATCAAATATAAGCTATTATGACTATATGTTGCCATGGTAATTATTGTTATTGTCTGACAAATGATATACATGTAACATTATTTTTTTTGCATATATGATATTCTATAAATATATGATTGTAATATGCCCAATATGCCTTATTTTATTATTGATTTGTTTGATTTAATTGCGATATTTGCCGAAGAAGTTTTACATCAACCGCGCGTAAAGGTTACGAGTACAAGCAGCCATTTTTTTATAATTACTAACTATTTAACGTGTAATTTTATTATTAGTTACATTTAATGTTCCTTATTAGCCGACTTCCTAAAAGGAGGTTCTCAATTCGTCGGAATCTTTTTTTATGTGTGTTCACCGATTACTCGAAAAAGTGAACTGATTTCGAAAATATTTTTTTTTGTTTCAAAGGGTATACTTACCAGGTGGTGTATATAAATTATATTGAAATCGGTCGAGCGGTTTTTTAAAAGATCAACAATAAATATTATTCCTTAATAAATTGTTTAATCGAATATGTTATTAAAAAACTTTCTTCTTACAAATTACCTACTTTTTACGTCTACACTAAAAATGGAAACATAAAAACTTAAAAAAATAAATAAAAACCGACGTCCAGGCACTAAATTGTAAAAAATAAGTAAACGGAGGTTTTCATTTAGAATAGATACCTAATCAGATATTTTCGAAGTCGGTGTCAGCCGACAATATTTTAAGATATGAATATCTAATAAGTATAAATATGTATTTTACGTATCGAAATATATTAGATTTGCTTTGCATCGTAAAGCTATACTAAATGTACCTATAAGATTAATAGACAAAGATATCTAAAAATGTCTTTATTCCAAATTAAGAGTTTTATAAAATAATTATCGAAGTAATAACTGAAGGGTCACTTTCTAATTACTAAACACTAGCATACGAATAATATAAAGAATTAGCATTGCCCGCGGCTCCGCCCGCGTTTAGATGACCAAAAAACAAATCCTTAGGTTGTACATATTAGTATACTCTTACAATGCAGTTTTTGTATTTTTTCTCAGAAATGAGATATTTTCCCGCGATAAAGAGTATCCTATATGTTGACCCGGATAACCAGCTATCATCATACCAAATTTCATCAAAATCTGTCCAATGGTTTTCTCGTGATGCGGTAACAGATAGACAGACAGACAAAAAATCAAAAAACTATAGATTCGGCGTCTGTATCGATAATAATATTTATTTCAATAAGATTTTTCAAAAAATATTTAATGTACAGATTCGGCTTACTTACAATTTCATTATATGTATAGATAACTGCAATTTACACTGTGCAGGGTCTGTCAATACAAAACGACTTCATTTCGAAGACAAAAACCCACAATAACTGTATGGTGGTTTAACATATTAAGCACAGCGAATTACAACTTTGTTTCAATAGCAATAGTACTATTGAAAATTACTCGAAAAGCTAAAATTTTGTCAAGTCACTAAAACTTGATCTCAAATGTAATTTTTACCTTATGTAATGGATATAAAGGTTATACGATGTGCATTACAGACTATTACACAATCCTAGAAGCCGCAGACCGCAGACCCGGCGAACGGGCCATGACTGACACGATGGAAGAGAAATTATTTAATGCCTTCTATATTTTAGTTGCTATTAAAAACTAGTGACCCGTCCAAGCTTTACTTAGACCTGTTTTTTTGCATTCGGTTGAAATGCCATGTGATCCGAAAATTTTATACACCAGAATAAAAATTTGTGCGAAAATCACGGTGCATTCATAGTTCTAAGATCGTTGGCAAATATCCTACTTTAGCTTTGAATATTTACATTCCTTAACTTTATCATCCAACACATCTCATAAATATTATAAATGCGATACCTTGGATGGATCTTTGTTACTCAATCACGCCGAAACGACTGAATGGTATGGTTCCCGTGGGATAGATGTGTTCTGGTTTTTTACTAGTTTCGCTAGTTTTAACATATACTTTGTATATAAAAAATATATTGAAACTTTTTAACCGAATATTATAGTTAGCTTTTGTCTGAATGTTTATACTGAAATAAGCTATACATTCTAACACTTCTTATATTCAAACTAGAAGCAACTTTACGAGCTTATTATCAAATATTCGTTAGAAACTACCATTCATATAAAACTAATTAGCACCACGCTCGGTCTCCTAACGAATATTCTGCTTAACGTTAGTGAGAATAGTATAATTATAAATTAAAAATTAAAAAAAAACCCCTACGCAAATTAATTGTCATTTAACGATTACACTGGCACGCGTGAAGCACTTAATCGAGTATTCATACGGCAAAATGCCTTACATCATTTTGGAAAAGAGCTGATAGTCTTACACTGCTGGACTGATATTTACCAAACATAGCTAAGAACCACTGCATGGAAATCGGTACATCCGTTTGAGAGCTACGATGCCACAAACAGACACTCACACACACAGACAGACAGACATCGACGTCAAACTTATAACACCCCTGTTTTTGCGTCGGGGGTTAATAACAATGTAATTTTACTATAACAATTATAGTTTATTTAATTTATGAAAGGAAGCATATTATTATGCATTTTTGTATAGAATACTAGCGACTCGCCCTCGCTTCGCTCAGGTTCGTCCCTAGCTTGCTTTCCCATACAAAATTTTATTCCCATTTTCACCCCCTTAAGGGATGATTTCCGGGATAAAAAGTATCCTATGTCCGTCTCTGGGTTCTAAGCTACCTCCCCGCCAATTTTCAGCCAAATCCGTTCAGCCGTTCTGGAGTTATAAATAGTGTAACTAACACGACTTTTTTATATATATATAGAAGAATTGTTATACTGCATCATGAACGTGATTTAATTCAAGCAACTAATATTACCTTTTACATGTGTTATGTATGTACGTACACAGCCTTTTTTTAATGTCCCACTGCTGGCGGCGAGCCTCTCTTCAATATGAGGGAGATCAGGCCATAATCTACCACGCTGGCCAAGTGCGGGTTCTCTCAGACATGCAGGTTTCCTCACGATGTTTTTTTTACCTTAGGCAAGGGGTAATCGTGTTGGAAATGATTCGAACATGAAAATATCAGAGGTGTAAACTGCAATGTAAGAGTATACTTCTATATATGTAAAACCTAAGGATCGTGGGATGACATAAAGGTATTTGTACATCGGTACCGGTTTTAAAACGGACCATCTCGGGGAACCAATTACATGATTGTGGAGAAATTAAAGGGTATGATTTTGCGTAAACTAAATATAAATGTTTAGAATTTTAAAAACGTCCAAATACATTACGTAATATGTAGGTATACCTACACACTAGTAATAAATGTTTTTATTAAAATCATGAATCAAAATGAGATTGGTGAAAAAGAAACAACATCAAGCGCTTCCATATAAAAGAAAATACTTTCTTTAATATATATTTCATTCTAATACGGCTTATATTATTTGAATGAAGTTTGATTTCTTTGTTGTAAAGCGCTTGTTTAAGTAGCATATGTATGCAGCCCTTTTTAACATCCCACTGCTGGGCACGGGCCTCCCTTCAGTATGGGGAGGATCAGGCCATAGTCCACCACGCTGGCCAAGTGTGGTTGGCGGACTTCACATGTCTTTCGAAAACTTCCTAGGTTTTCTCAGACATGCGGGTTTGCTCGCGATGTTTTCCTTCACCGTAAGGCAAGTGGTAATCAAGTTAGAAATGATTTGCAGGTGAAAATATCAGAGATGCGAGACCCGGGATTTGAACCCGCTTCACTCGGTTTCCCAAGCGAGCGCGTTACCACTGGGCTACCACTGCCTTTGTATATCGTTATAATGTATACATGGACATAAATTATATAAAAAAATGCTC